GGCCCCCACAAAGCCCTCCCCGCATTACCCACGTTAGTCATGACAGGCCGTGCAGGGTTGGTTTGTTTACTCCTTTAAATGTACCTACAGGCACACCCCCCCCCCGTTTAGGCACGTCCATATGTGTGCAACTGTGTAGTGTGCATTCGCCAATACCACAGAAGTGACCCAGAAACATCATAATAAAGACGTCACGAAAATGTCACCCAAAAAGGCAGAACAGGCGTGCTTGCAGGTCTTTCCAATGGCAGCGTACTTTCTAATATACACATCATTCACCGACGCACGTAGTAACCTCAGACATAAACCCCGTGTTAAACGGGGGGGGGGGGGCTCCTTGACAGGAGGAGGAAGTTGGAAAAAGTGGCACTCTTTCCCATTTCTCTTCAACTCTATGGTGCTTTTCAAGCCTCAGATTACATTATTGAGTCGACTCATTTACTCCAGGATCCCTTTCGGAAAGGCAAGAGTCCATATGATGCTGAACCTGACAGGAGAGGACGCAGAGAAAAGCAACCAAGCTCGGTGGTTGCCCACAGCAACTGGTCGCTAAATCGCTCACGGCCAAAGATGGTTGCAGCCCAGACAAAGGAATTCTAAACTGGCTTGAAGCTACTTGCATTGCTCAGGTTCACGGATATGATTCCAACCTGGATGGAGCATAGTCCAGTGTGGCAGGCTATTGCCGCCTTGAAGAGGAATTCGTGTGGAAGCATGGATAGCCGATGCAATACAAGAGTATTATCTTACCCATTCTAGTTTGCTACTGGTTTTCTACAATCCAATACTCCTTGAAGGAAAACGCTTTGGGCTCAGGGACGTTACTGTTTATTGGCTTCAACCGTATGCAAACGTTTAGGGGCCGCTGCCTCTTGACTGTATTTTTTGCTTTTAACAGCCTTCAGGACAGACCTAACCACAGACCTGATTCTTACCAGACCAGGCGACACCTCTTATGCTTCACCAGCCCTCTATCTGTTTGCCCAGGGCTCGACTCCAGACCTCAAAGTGAACCATGACGGAAGGGCAAACGAAAAGGTTAGAGCGCAAGCAAGGCACAGAAAGTCACGGAGCAAGCTACGCAGGGATGGCTGCTGAGGCTTCTCACTACTGGAAGGAGTTGCAAAGCATTTTACAGGGACAATGGCATGCAAAATATACCAGGGGTAGCCAATGCAGTGGCCTTCAAATGTTCCTAGACTACAACTTCCATAAGCTCATTCCAGTATGGCCAGTGGTGAGGGGAGTTGTAGTCCAAAACATTGGGGCACTAGGTTGCTTGCTCCTGAAATATACAATTTTAAAAATCAGAATGAAAAACCTATGCTAAAAGTGTTCACCCTGTTCTGCCTGCACCAGGAATAGAGGTCTTCCTCGACATCGCAGGGAGAGGCCAATGGAGATAAACAAAGAATGGTGGGGAAACTCATTCTTTGAATTCCTCTCTGGGTGGGAGAGGAACAGGGGTCTAGATAAACTGTATAATTTAGTATTTTAATAATTGGTTTTAATAACTATTAATTGGATAAAATTGGCATTGTTATAATGAGGCTGTTATTGGAACAATATTGAATAAAAAATATTTAGATGGGCAAAAAAGTGTTCATCCAAAAAAATCATGCATAAGATAGCCAGCCCACCCAAATTACGAACAGATATAAAAAATAAAAGAGCAAGCACCAAGGAGAATAAAAACATTTTCATCTGGTGTCAGGATGACAATGTCAGTGCAGGTGAGCTTCCCTGGGGAGAGAATTCCACGATCAGGGGGCACCAGAGAAAAGGCCACTCCACCCTCCTGCCCACAACTCTTGGAAGACCTGCCAGATAACCCACAGGTTTAAAACATAAGAATGGATGGGACCAAAATACCTCCATAGGAATTCGCTTGTGTTCAGTGATGGGGAGGTTCTTTGTATAGGGGTGGGGGTGAGGGTCCACAGAAAACTGACCTGTTTCCAACAACAGCCAACGTCGTCCAAGTTCAAGGGCTGTGGATCCAGTGCTAATTTCACTCTCTGGTACATTCACAGTTCTGGAAGAGCTTGAAGGGTGTTTGTGGAGAGATGTAATAATAGTAGGTCATCATACGCAAGGACAGTCTCAGGGGCTCAGAGGTATACAGCTTTTGAACATGGATGTTCTACCACTGCCATTGATCCTTCATAGATTTATCTACTCTGTTACAATTGCTGGATCTGAAGAAAAGATTCATCTGGTCCAGACTTCCTCAAATGGCGCCCTCCAGATGTTATGGGCTACAACTCCCATCAGCTCCAGCTGCATGGAGTTGTAGCCCAAAACATCTGGAGGACACAAAGCATTGGAGTTTTTTTGGGGGTGCATGTGTGATTTATTCCAACATCCTCTATCCCACAATGTCTAACTATGTGCTGTGTGAAGAAGTCCTTCCTTTTATTTCGTCCAATATGCAGCTTCATTGAATGTCCCCGAGTTCTAGTGTTAGGAGAGAGGGAGAGAAGCTTTTCCTTATCCACTTTCTCCATGCCATGAAGAATTTTATACACTTCTATCATGTTGCCTCTTACTTGCCTTTTCTCTAAACTAAGAAGTCCCAAATCTCAAGGCCTGGGATACTTCATATCTGGCAACCCTTGCTGGGAGTAAGCTAGTTGGATTCCACTCATAGAGCTTACTTAGCACTTTGGTGCTCTATATTTCAGCACTCAATGCGCTTCCCGTGTTAACTCTTAAAGTCTTAAATTACTATTTTTTAGTTTTTCTTATTGATCATTCTATTGGGGGCGGAGGGTTTTGTTGTTGTTGTTGTTGTTGTTTTTTTTGCAGACCACTTTCGTTTGTTTCTTTTACAATCAAGCCGCGTATAAATTTTATGAAATAAATAAATAAAAACTCGGCAAGCACCACAACAGCCCTGTGAGGTAGGACCGGCCCACCCCCCGCCCTTAGGAAGGCAGTATCGGGCTCTCATCTGTTTTTGAACCTACCCTTTCAAAGCGTCCTGCGCCCCCAAACCTGCAGCCCAGCCCTCCGTTTGGTCGATACCTGCTTAAGAACTGGCGCCTTCTCGTCCTCTCCGAAGCGTGAGAAGCGAGAACTTCCTACTTCCGGCTGCCCTGGACCCGACTTCCGGGTGCGTCACGCTTTTCCTTCCCGGAGTGCTGCGCTTAAAAACTTCCCCACCTCCGAGGAAAGCTGCCCTAATTGGACTATATACCTGTGAGTTAAGAGCACTGCGGGTGCAGCCACTTCAGAATTGACTTGTCAATGACTTGTTGTGATATCAGCCTTGCTGATTTGTGCAGGAGAGGGCGAAAGAGAAACACGGATTAGATCACCGAATGACCAGAAGAATCAGAAATCAGGAAGACCAAAATTTTAATAAGGAATGGGGGAAATTTATAATTTATCTTAAAAACCATTGTAAACAGTTAAAACCGTTAGTAGGACTGGAATAACATTTGTAGTTTAATGGTGAACTTTGGACATAGTGGAGAGGTAAAATATTTGGATTATCATAAAAGATGCAGGAGGAAATGATTAACCATAGGACCCACAAAGGGGAGGAAGGAAGTCCAGGAGATTCTATGGAATCTTGTTTTTATGTTGTGTATTGGATATGTGATTGTAAAACTTTGATCTGAAAACCAAATAAACATTTTTTAAAAAGAAAAAAGCACTAAATGAAACAAACAAAACAAAAATAACCCAAGTATCCGTTTTGTCCTAAATAACCTCTCCAAAGAGAAACTTGAGTGATTGCTGGGGGAATATGTTGGTACAGATCTGGCCACGTATGAAAAGAAGGGGAACTAGACAGAGAATTGTAGAGTTGGAAGGGACCCTGAGGGTCGTCTGGTCCAACCCACTGCAATACAGGAATCTCAACATACATTTCCATGTGGCATCTCATCAGGTTTTCAGACAAAAGTCTCTTCTCAAACTCTTGCCCGTCCATCTTTTCACCCAAAGGTTGCCTGGTGTTTTCCACTGAAAGGCTATTTCCATACAAGCTGCTGCTAATAACACCACAACTATCTCATTATGTGCTCCTAATGTGTCCAAAGCTGAAGCAGGAACTAAAACAAAAATTGTGAATTGGAACACAATCCTATCACATGTGTTCAAGAGAGCCATCAGTGCCACCATCTCTCCAATATGGGGTGAGATTGAGTTGTTAACAAAGTGGAGCTTTAGGGTGTCCAATGCCATCGAAAGAGCGCTTTAAGTTCTGCCTTTTATATTCAAGTTGTTATTTTTAAGCCGGACTTGGCCTATGTAGCCATGTTGGTTCACGTTTCTCCAAAGCCAGCCCATCTTCCCAAGCCCATGACGGCAGTGATCAATATTCAGGAGGATGGATTCAAATATCTGAAGATGGAGCAAGCTTTGTTTTCTGCTGCTCCAGAGGGGAGGACCCAAACCAATCACTTCAAATGGCAAGGAAGAACTTTCTGATGGTAAGAGCTGTTCAACAGTGGAATGCAGACCTGGCCCAACTTGAGGCAGGGTAAAGCAGCTGCCTCTGGTGGCAGAAGCCCCTGAGGCAGCATCCCGCCCCTGGCATTGGTGCAAATTTCCAGCGGAATCTTGTTGGAAGTCAGTGTCAATGCTGGCACCACTTCTCCACCCGTGGCAGAGGCAAGCAGTTCAGTGGTGGGGCAGCACTTCCTATTTCGCCTTGTGTCACCTCTGAGCAGTATTTTTTTCTGGGGATACGCAAACCCCTAAACATTCTGTAAATCTAAGTTTGGCCTCATTGAGAGGCAGTATTTCAATATGAGTAGGAAAATGAGAGTACTCTTAAACATTTTTTTTTAAAGTAAAAAAGCACTGCCTCTGAGATAAGCCTCTTCTGATGACTTCCCACCCAACTTTGTCTCTCATCCGCCTTGGAAGGATGCTGGCAAGACCTACTCAGGAGTACTCAGCAGAAGGTAAACCTAGTCTCCCCACCCTCAAGACTCCAGGCGTCACACTGCCCTCACCCCTGAAACACACAGACACTTTAGTTCAGAAGTCCATCAGTATTTATTAATGTGGAAATTACAGAAACAACCAAAGGCTGCGTCTTTAAAGTAACAGACAGAAGGCACAGCCACCTGAGCAGCTGCGTCTTCCAGAAACACTTTTTTTTGCAGCCACTTTCAGGCCATTCTGGCTGAGATTAGAAGTCCCTGAAGGGGAAACAGCTTTTTCAGGGTGGGGGTGGGGTGTTCAGAGCAACAATCAAAGGAAAAACACTTTCTATAGCAGCCATTTTGCAAGTGCTAGTTATGCCTTCCACTCCCCAAAAGCCCTCAGTGCAACGGGGCTGGGGGGTGGGGAGTGCTCAAGTAGGATTCCTTGGAGGAGAAGGTTTGGGTGGTGCTTAGGACTGACCAAGCTAGGGATTATCTCTCAGCATTGCCTTCAAAACCTTCCACCAATATTTCCATTCTAGCAGCAAACATTAATACAGAGCAGCTAAATCTAAAAAAAAAATGTGGGCTGGGTTTGACCTCTTTTTTTGTAGTGGGTGCAGGGAGAAAGATTTCATGGCATCTAAGTGCAAAAGCTGACCAATACTGGAATGGTTACTTTTTCCTACAGGCTAGCGGAGCCGCCCAGCCACAGGCAAGACTGTCCTGCAAGGCTGCGGCTCCACCACGTCAAGTCTTCCAGAAGCAGAGGAAGACTTGAGCTAACGGAAACAAGGGTACCCCATTTTTTGGGAGGGCATTTATCAGTGCTACAATCCCTAAGGGGAGCGGGAAGACTTGGAGAGTGCAAAAGAAAGAAGCCCCGGACTAACTGGGAAATAAGGGTGTTAAATGTGCTCCCCTCATCTCCACAAAAAAGGGAAAATTCACCTGCACTTATTTAAGCGGGCTTGAGTGAGTTGTGAAGCTCCTTGGAACATCTTGTCTTAAATGCAAGCTGGTTCCCCAAGTTGTATGGAGACAGGAAGCTGGCCTTAGACCAAGTCAGACTGTCTGCTGTCCATCTAGCACAGCAGCTCTTCAACTTGAGGGGGGCCTTCCCTAGCCCTGCCTCCTGAGGATTGGAGGGTTGGACTAGATGACTCTTTGGGTCCCCTTCCAACTCTACAATCCCAGGACTGTATGAGATTCTATAACTGTTTGGGACCTTCTGTGTGCAAAGTGGATGCTCTTCTACTGAGCTATGGCCCAAACTTAAGAGGCCTATGGTTAGAAAACAGTAAGGAGCTCTGCTTTTTGCAGAGGGAGTTGGGATGGGAGCTGGTAGTTAGATCACTGCCCCTTCCTCCCCGGCCCCAATTCCCAGTCTGCCTTCCAAAAAGCAGCTCAGGATTGACCAAGGTAAAAGAGGAGGCTCACAGCGAGGAGCAGCTGATGACCTAACCATTTCAGAAGAGCAAGTCCCCTTCACCATCCTCTGTGCATCTGCCCAGGCACCAAGTACCCCTTCACTGAGAGTCGGGGGAAGGAATCTGCTCCTACTGGAAAGGGAAGCATCCTTTAAACACACACCAGCACCAATCCTGGCCTGGTTGAAGGATCTCAGCAAGGTTAAGGGTCCTATCCTAGGACATGCTACCTCCAGTCTCTACCGTTCATAGCAGCAGGCAGGAGCAGGGGCCAGATCTTCTTAGTTATGCACTAGGCCTAACCAGGGCTATTTGGAGAGGGAAATGGGTAAACAGGGTCAGTATAATGTACAGGGAAGGTGCTCCGATCTTCATCTTGGTGCTGGGTGGAAAGCCAGCAAGTTGATGATTTGGACCGGAGGCAGTCAAGGGGCCCGAGAGGCTTACTCTATCACTGCAGAACTGCACATTGAGTTCATGCCACAGGCATGGCTGCCACGATACAGGTAGTAGTAGCCCTGAAAAGAGACACGGGACAATTGTCAGTAAGCAGCACAGATCTTCCATGACCAGGAAAGCCTAGCCACAGTATTGCTTACTTCAAGATTGGATTACTGCAACACACTCTTCGTGGGGCACCCCTTGCGCTTGATTGGGAAGCTGCAGTTAGTGCAGAATGCTGCAGCACAATTGCTGACAGGACCCCATATAACACCTCTGGTCGGAGATCTGCACTAGTTGCCCATTTGCTACCCAGGCCAGGTTCAAGGTGTTACTATCAGCATACCAAACCCTTATCAACTTGGGACCAGTTTACCTGTGTGATCACCTCACCCCATGTATATGCCCACTTATATCTGTGAAACTGGCATTGTTACAGATGCCACATAATACCTGTTGCACATTTGTAAGTAATAGACCTTTTATTGTGACAGCTCCTACACTTTGGAACTCCCTGCCCATTGACACCAGGCAGATACCTTCCCTGTACTCTTCTCAGTGCCTGCGAAAAACTTATTTTGTTTACAGAAACCTAGCCAAATATGTAGAATGTTTACATGTGTTTTTAATTGTTTGTAGTAAAGTTTTAAAAAAGCTGGTTTTGGTAGTTTTCATTGATGGTTTTACAGTGGTACCTCGTGTTACGTACCATCCCCCTTACGAATGCTGCGGGTTACGTGCTCCACTAACCCAGAAGTAGATGCCCCTTTTGTGACCTTTGCCCCAGGATGTGAGCAGAAGTTGTGGCGTGGCAGCAGGTGCCATTAGAGAAAGCACGCCTCATGTTACAAGAGGTTTCCTGTTACGAACAGACCTCTGGAACGGATTAAGTACGTAACACGAGGTACCACTGTATATCCTTTCTGTAAACTGTTTTGAGATTTTTTACAATCAAGCAGTTCCACAGTATGATCACACCTTACACGCATTTAAGTTTCAACCATATGTGACTGAAGGCGAGCTGGTTGAATTTGTGCAAGTCAAGTCCCAAGCAAGATGGAGAGCTTAAGAGCTCTTTTTGCATTGGGTTCACTTGCAGTTACCAGGGGTGGAAAGAGCTTCTAAGCTCTCTGCCTTACTTGCTGGGGATGCTGGGGGATTATCTCTCCCCATCTGCCTTACTTCAATTTTCATGTATACGCAGAACCCTTGGACTCAAACCTCTACATAAAATGTGATCGTACGGAGCTTACATTTTGTGATATATATCTATCTCCACCTTCTGCCTGCACATGAGCATGTCATTGGCCAGCACAACATAAGCAGAAGTCAGCCATACCCTGGCACCGGCTCCTCCTTGCCTCAATAGCGTTGTCAAGCAAAGAGACACTGGGTTAGGGGTCAGCAGCAGGCAGTTACACTGAGGAGAAAGCCAAGCCTGACTCATGAGCTTTCAGTGTATCAGCCCCTTCCTAACGATGTGAACAGAGATTGCCAAGAGCGGGGGAAAGGTTGCCCAGCTGAGTTTGGAAGAATGCTTACCTTCTCTCCCCAGTTCTCTCCCCAACTGTTCTTGATCGCCCAGAATGGAGTACGGCCCCCTGTGTGTGTATACAGGTGGAAACAGAAGAGAGTCGTCAGGGGGAGAGCAGCAGTAAACCGCTTTGAGCTTATAAATTTTATAAAACCCTCCATTTATCCCTCGAGAGAGTTTCCCCCCCCCCAAACCCATCAATCTCTTGAAGTGGCTTAAGACAGATCTGATCTCTGCATCATCCTTGGATGGAAGCCAGCAGCTTTTTGGAAGCAGGAAGGAATTCATTCTTGACCCTTCCTGCTTCCTCCATCCACCCACCGCTCCCTGCCCACCTCTGAACACCCATCACAAGCAAGGAAACTCCCCACTTGTAGTTCTCCTTCAGCCTCTATTAGTCACACCTGTTACAACTGGGGAGTCTGATGCGAAACTTTGGGAATCATGGGAACTAGGGAGTTAGATCAGACAAACATCAGGTGCCAGCACTAGTAAAACTGCTCTAATATGTTTTGCCCAGACGCATGTAGGTTTTAACTGAGCAAGCTTTAGGGTAATTTAAAGTCTCATCTGCATTTTTTCTAACGCTTTGCGTGAGCGTTTTAGGAATGAGATAGGGTGGCACCAAAAATTTGTTTTAGATAGGTCACGCAAATAAATTAGAAAGAACAAAGTAAAGCAAGCTTATTGAACACAGATGGAGACTGCTTCTGAATGCTAAACTGCAGGGTGGAGGAATGGAGATTCCAGAGCGAATCTCCCCACCTTCATGCTTTGGGAGCATCCTCCTCCCCCCCCCCCAAGTAAAAGTAGCCACTTACGTGTGCCGTAGCCCACCAAGAGGACTGCGTGGTCAATCATCCAGGGGTTGCAGAGCAGGAAGAAGGGGTGGGAAACTCCCCTCCTGTAGAACTGGACATGGGAAGAAGGGGGAAAGGGCTCAGAGTCAATCCTGGACTCCAAACAACTTAATACATACATGTTGCACCCTGTGCAATGTTTGGGCCTTCAGGCAACTTAGGAGGGCTTGAAAGTCTATGCCTGAAGCTACTAAGAAAGTCAAATGTGTCCTAGCTGCAAGGAGTCCTTGCCCCTCTGAACAGATCTGTTCCCTTGTGTTCTGCATGACTCAGCCCTCCCTCTCTCAATGAGCAACAAAAACCGAACTAGGCCAATCTGAATTTGGAAGCAGAGTAAGCCGTGTAAAAGAAATGTAAGGAGGGCTAGCTGTTGGATCAGACCAGAGGCCCAGCAGTCTGCCTCAGTGACCAACCAGAAAGCTCGCAAGGACAACAGCAATACTCTCTTCTCCACCTGCGATTCAACTGGTGTTCAGGTGCAGCTGCTTCCCGACAGCGGAGGCAGAAAATAACCATCATGGCTAGCAGCCGTCGCCAGGCTTATTCTCCTTGAGTTTGTCTAACCTGCTTTTGAAGCCGGTCACATTAGTGGCCATTGCTGCATTTAGCGCTTGCAAATTCGACAGTTCTATTTCTGTGTGGAGAAGGGCTTTATTTTGCCTATCCTGAATCAGAGATGGCTCTGAGTACTAGGGCAGGAGGTGGCAGAGCTCCAACGGCATCCCAGGATTTCTTTTTTTAAGTTTTAAAAAGCAAGGGAAAATGGAAAACCTATGGCCACATCATAAAGTTAATGCAACTCCCTGCTCAAACTTACATAGAAATTTCTGTCCCTCCACTGTGATTTTTTGGGAGGTTTTCATTTTGTTCCCCACCTGCTCAACAAATGATGTGGGGGGGGGGGGAATGTTTTTTGACCAAAAGGGCGACCTCTGTTCCTTACAGCATGGAAAAAGAAGCATGGCCCTCCAGGGGCTCCCTCACCTGCATGGCAAAGGCGTTCAGAGCAATGGAAATAGGGCCGTTCTTAGCCAGCCAGGCAGCGATCTCTGAAACGGAGAGGGTGACTGGTTAATAAGCAAGGCCATTGTATGATGCAGAGAGATATAAGAGAAGGAGAGGGAGCTTATGGGAGCTGCGCTGCAGGCCCTGCCCCAGAAAACGAAAGCATTTTACACATGTGGATCACCATGCATTTGAGATACTGATACGCTGCCTCTCTCCCTGGCCTCTGTTGCACTTCCCACACCCATGCATGGTGGCAGCAGGTAGGACAAGAGATCGTAGCAGGACGGCTCAGCAGACAAGCTGTTAAGTATCAAGTGTGTGGTCTTGAATGTTTCTTAGCCATAAAAGCAGCAAGAAGGGCACCTATCAAGTCCAGAGAACATCTAGGGCAGGCCTGGGGTGCCTCAGGGACCTATGCAGTCATCCAGACCTCTAAATCCATCCCACAGGCCACAAGTCTCTCTGACCCTGCCCTGTTTTTCTTGGCCAGAATGTGTTATTGGACCATGGTAATATCTCTTGCTTGTATGGATGAAGAGGGAGTAAATAACCTATGCACTGGCTGCCCATCTACTACCAAGCCAGATCCTTGTACTGATTTTACAGAGCCCTGAACAACTTAGATCCAAGGCACCTTAGAGATGGCCTGAACCTTTATATCCTGGCTCAGTTACCAAGATCACCTGGAAGAACCTCATTGGTCATCCCTTGAGTTGGCAAAGGTGATTTGACATCAACGTGAAATAGAGTCTTTAGTCTTATTGGCCTAGTCCTATGGAACACTCTGCTAACAGAGATTCAGCATCCAGCTACTTTTAAACATCCGCTGAGAACTTCTCTATGTCGTCAAGCTTATGCCAGCAATTAAGAAGCCATCTTTCCATAACACTTAGATGATGGTCTCTGATCTTAAATGTGTTTTTATATTATATAGTTATTATTGTACACTGCTTTTATTTTGTTATGATTTGCAGCATATAAATATTTTCATAAACAGATATATATGTCTACACCAATTCTTACACGGCTGACTTCCGTCACATCTGTTGCCCTGTCCAGATGTTTTGAGACTACAATGCCCATCATCTCTGACCACTGGTCCTGTTAGCTAGGGATGATGGGAGCTGTAGTCCCAAAACATCTGGAGGGCCGAGTTTGCCTGTGCCTGCTCTGGCTCCACATACCACTGGCATGTGGCCTCTGGAAGTTTGGCCAAGAGGGAAGGCAGCCCTGGGACTGGGAAAAGTTTGCCCAACCCTTGCTCTAGGCAGTAGCAAGTGGCCTTCCTCATTCCACAGCAGAGTGTTCCAGATCTCTCTAGGTATTAAGAGGCCCACAATTTGATTCACTAACTGGCACCCCAAGCCATGGTCTCAGACATGTACCTGTCTCATCCCGGGATATTGATACGGAGCTATTGATGTAGACGGCCACCTTATCCTTGGAGAAGCCGCACTTCTGCTCGAACCCCTCATAACTGTAATCGCGCTCTGTCTCCAGGCCGCCTGGGGAAGAGGAGGAGAATCAGGAAGGCCAAGGAAGGTGATGACCTGGCAAGGAAAACCGTGTACAGGCGGGGCTCTTGCTGTGCAGAATAAGGATCTAAGAGTGGCTTTTTTAAAAAAACCCCACATTTATTATGCCCTAATAGGCAGGTGGCGCTGTGGGTTAAACCACAGAGCCTAGGACTTGCTGATCAGAAGGTTGGCGGTTCGAATCCCCGCGACGGGGTGAGCTCCCATTGCTCAGTCCCAGCTCCTGCCAACCTAGCAGTTCAAAAGCACACCAAAGTGCAAGTAGATAAATAGGTACCGCTCCGGTGGGAAGGTAAACGGCATTTCCGTGCGCTGCTCTGGTTCGCCAGAAGCGGCTTAGTCATGCTGGCCACATGACCCGGAAGCTGTACGCCAGCTCCCTCGGCCAATAAAGCGAGATGAGTGCCGCAAGCCCAGAGTCGGTCACAACTGGACCTAATTGTCAGGGGTCCCTTTACCTTAATAATACTTCTAGAGGCAGCTTCCAGCAATAAAAGCAGCAAGGAACAACAATCCCTACATGAGAAATCAACAGCAGCCAGAATCCAGCAGTTCTGAAGAGGGACTTTTGCATTGTCAACAAACGGCTGAACAAACAGAGCATCTTCCAGCCTCACTGTGGTGGTTGCTTCACAGCCATTGGGGAACTGCAGTAAAGGCAGCATGTGCACTCTTGAAAAATTCAGGGTTTGCCCCAAGAAAGAGGGAATGGATTTTTTCTAAAAGGGAAGGATCTGGCATGAATGGTGCTCTAGATGCAACTGACAAAACTCAGTTACCTTTTAGCCTTGGGAACAAACCAGCATTTCCAGCACCAATGTGCTCAAGGCACCCAGTTTCTCCAGTTCAGAGACTGTTGTGAAAACAAGTCTCTGAACACTCAAAACATCTTATTCTCTGGATGTCAAGGCACATGCAGAGGAACAAGTTGCAGACCAAGTGCCGCGCTGGAGCAAAATATTTTGCTGACTCACCCAGCCCTTCGATGGCCTCGTAGGCCGTGGATGGAAGTCCTCCTCCGCAGGCTTTGTCTACGGAGTCACAGTCCAGCAGCTCTGTGGAGTGAGCAGAAATCAGGTCAGCTGGAAACTGGAGGGTGAGCACCCAGAGACATGTCCAGTCTTGCTCCTGAAGTCAGCCAACTTCCCAATTTATTTCTTTATGACATTTCTTTCATAAAATTCATATGCCACTTGATTGAAGGAAAAACTCAAAGCAGTTACATCTCGCTCTTTGCCATATGTGATCTTAGGATGGGTTATAACAAGGTAATGAAAGCAAAAAATAAAATCTGCTTCGAGAATGCAAGCATCCTCTACCTGTAAAACATTTGAGTCAATGCGGCCATGTAAACAAGGCACAACCAATAACTTCACTGGCAGTTTTTTTGTTTTCTTTTAGCTCTGCTGCCCAGAAAGCTCCCAGATCCAAACATGAGAGGCCAGGCCTCCTCAAAGAACTCCCTACCTTGCTCAGAGAGGGAAACCAAAGTGCCATTGCGGAGGAACCACTGCCCTTCCACGTTGCCTGTCACAGAGAAGGCCCAGCAGGAGCCACAGTAACCCTGCAGTCATTGAGAAAAGGAAAGAGTTGCTCCAGATAGTATGAACTGGCCATAAGATGAAAAAGGAGACAATTCAGAAGCAGCCTGGAAGAAGGCAACTTACATCAGTTAAACAACTTCACTGGCTACTGGTCCACTTTTGGGCACAATTCCAAGCGCTGGTTCTGACCTATAAAGCCCTATATGGCCCTATATGGGACCAGGCTTCCTGAATGACCATAACTCCCTATATAAACCTTTCTGGGAGCCAAGATCCTCAGGTGAGCACCTTCTCTTGGACCCATTAACATCAAAAACACGGTTGGTGGTGACACGAGAGAGAACCTTTGCTGCGGCTGCTCCTAGATTGTGGAATCCTCTCCCAGGAGAGGTTAAACTGGCTCCCTCTTGTTTATCTTTCTGCTGGCGCACTTAAGACTTTTGTATTCAGACAGGCCTTTGAAAACTAAGGTGCAGACGATGCAGATGCTGTTGCCGGGGCAAACTGTACTTTAGCTGCTGGTTCTAAATGTGCTTCGATGTATTTTAACTACTGCTTTCAATTAGTTTTATTACTTTTCATTTTATGAGGACGTTTTTTACATGTTGTAAGCTGCCTTGTATCCCAATTTGATACAAAGCTGGGATATAAATTCCTACAGAGAACAAAACAAAATAAAGCTCAGGCCCAGAGCCTAGGGTGGATCACTACCTTCTTCCAGCTCCTCACCAACCTCACGCAACAAACCCACACAGGGAAACAGGGAAACTTTTATCCCCTTTGGAAACTTTAAGCCCAACCTGGTCCCCTTGAGGAAGCAGCTGCTTCCATAGTGGGGTGGAGGAAAACCAACCTGGTTCTTGACACCCGTGACAGCCCCGTGGTCCCGCCAGTCCCATGCATCAGGGGGTGGATCTTTAGGGATGGTGGCTGGTTTCATGGGCCGACCAGGCAGCTGGGAAAGCAGTGGGTTCAAGTACGTGGAGCGGAACTCCTCCTCTGAAACAAAGGAGAAAGATACATTGTGCGATGAAAAGACAAAAGCACCAGACTTCATAAAATATGACACTCTAGCCCAGTGTTTCCCAACCTTTTTTGGGCAAAGGCACACTTGTTTCATGAAAAAAATCTCGAGGCACACCACCATGCCAGATGGGGAAAGGTCACTTTTTACTTATGTAAAAAAAATAAAAAAATAGTAACAGCATAGAAGGTAGAGAAGGTAGGACTCGAACCAGTGGATTCACGTTACAATAAAGATTTTGACTAAACATGGGAAAGAACTTTCTGCTGGTAAGGGCTGTTCAACAGGGGAATGGTCTCCCTCGGGAGGTTTTTCCCTTCTTGGAGGTTTTTAAGCAGAGGTGGGATGTCTGTCTGCCATGGATGCTATGGCTGAGATTCCTGCACTGCAGGGGTTGTACAGTACTGGATAGCCCTGGGGATCCCTTCCAACTCTACGATTCTATTAGGATCCCTTTTATAAAAGAGAGAACTTTAATGGCACGGCCATTATTTATTTCGGCTTCTCCCAACGGGGCCACGAAGGATCAGAAAAGCTGAAGAAGAGACCCTTCCTCAGAGGAGGCGGGAGACCACCGGACCCGCCGAGGAGGGGAATCCGGCCGCCTTTCCCTCCAGAGCTTCGCCTTTTGCCCCGGCCAAGTTGCGCCGAGGGCGCCTTGCGGGCTCTGCGTGGCTTCAGGCGGAGCCTAGGAGCCACTTCCCAGCCTGGAGGGCAGGCTGTGCGCGGACCCCGCCACTCTCGGGGCGCGACCCAGACCCGGCTGCCTTCCACGGCCAGCAGAGGTAGGCCGCCGGCTTCTAACCCGGCGGAACTGGGGCGTCCCGGGCGCAGCGCCGCGCTCCCTGCTCCTCCCGCCCCGCCCCCTTCTCCCGGGTGCCCCTCCCTCCTTTGTTCTCCGGAGCCCCGCCTCCCCCTCTGCCCCAGCTCGCCTATTGGCTCACGCAGCCGCCACTCAGGTGGGGGCCCGCTTTGGCCCCGCTCCCGGCCGCCGAGAGAGAGTGGGAGCGCGCGGGGCTGGGCTGGGCGGCCGGGCGTCTCCTTCCCTGCGCTGCTTCGGCCGCGTCTGCAGCCGCCGCGGGACCAGGCGGGAGGCCAGTCATGCCCAGACACTGCCAGCCGCTCGGAAGGAGCCGTTGCTCCGCCGGGCAGCGCCTGCCTGCGCGCCCCTCGCTCCCTGCGCCGAGGATGGCGGGGGCGCCGGGCGCAAGGCAGCGCCGGGGCTGCTGGGCAAGCGGCAGATGCTGATGCAGTTTGGGGAATTCCTGTCACAGGGAGCAAGGCAGAAGCGGATGACGGGGCACGTTCCCCGGGGGAGGGGGGCCGGAGGATTAGCCCGACTCGCCCGCCTCCCTCCCACGGCACACTAGGCAACGTCCGGCGGCACACTAGTGTGCCGCGGAACACCGGTTGGGAAACACTGCTCTAGCCTTCCCGGCTGGTTGAAGTTCTTGAGTTCTATCTGCCACAAATACATACAGTGGTAACCTCAGGTTACTACTTAGTTCATTCCGGAGGTCCGTTCTTAACCTGAAACTGTTCTTAACCTGAAGCACCACTTTAGCTAATGGGGCCTCCCGCTGCTGCCGTGCCGCCAGAGCACGATTTCTGTTCTCATCCTGAAGCAAAGTTCTTAACCCGAGGTACTATTTCTGGGTTAGCGGAGTCTGTAACCTGAAGTGCATGTAACCTGAAGCGTATGTAACCCAAGGTACCACTGTATCTGTATCTTTCCTCTTTGGAACTTGTGCTGTAATTTTAAGAAACATTAGATAGCCATTTTTGCTTTATTTTATGCTACTTTTATTCACTTTGTTTCATTCTCTTTCTCTTTTATTTGAAAAAAACCCTTTTAATATACACATCTGGATAATGTATTATCCCAGTTCCTTAATGCGAGTAACTGAATGTAAAAATAAAACATCTGGTTTGAGACACCTGCACTTTCCAAGGAAGCTGGGATATGTAACACTTACCACATTGCAGGATAAAGAAAACAAGACTCTAACCTGTTAGCTGGAGCTTTTTCAGACAGGGTTTGGTGGTGGCACTGTGAGGACTAAGTGGCAGCAGTTTTGTAGAGAATGCCATTTGTTTACTGCAGCCTGTTCAGCCTGGTGCCCTCCGGATGGGCGTTTTAGTCCTGCAACATCTGGAGGGCACCTGGTTGGCCAAGGTGGGTCTACCAGACACAGGTATGCTGTAGCTCTGCGATTCAGAGGGGAAGCTAACAGAGTCCCTGCCCCGTCCTCACCTACCTGTCAGATCACTGAATTTGGTGACACCATATTCTGCCGTGCCCTGATCCAGTTCCTGAATTAGCCGGGCCTTCTCCAGATTCTCTGCAAAGATGCGGAAACGCCTCTCAGTCTCTAAAAGAGCAGGAGGCCAGGGAAACAAGGACTGAGTATGAGTATTGATTCTTATTGGTTCTTATCCACCAGCAGTTATGCCTACAGTTCTTTAAGGATGCTTAACATGCAGAATGCTACTGCCAGCAGTGTGTATGTGGGCTGGTGGGCTCCGAGGAGTGGAGGAATGCCAAATTGGATCAGGAGAAGCTGGAAGTCAGACAAGGGAGGCGGGGAGCCTGTGGCCTTCCCAATGCCTGCCTTCCCAACTCCCAACAGCCCAAGCAAGCACAGCCATGCCTGCTGCAAAATCTGAACATCAGAGGAACTCTGCTGAGAAGCTAGCCTGACCTTTTTAGCTTATATTTATTTCTTGCATTTTATATCCTGCTTTCCTTCCAAGGAGCTCAAGGTGGCGCACACAGTTCTCCCAGCCCTCCTTATTTTATCCCCACAATTACTCTGCGAGGTACATCAGACTTGAGAAACTGCACCTGGCCCAAGGTTATCCCATGAGCTTCATGGATGAGTGGGAATTCTAAACTCTGGGCTCTGCCAGGTCCTAGACCAACCACTACACCATGCAGGGCAGCCCAGGCATGTTGTTGCTTTGCTCAACATTCGCTCAACATTCACCTTGCTTGTCCTTGTAGCTCTTCTCATAAGTTGTCAAGAACTCCTTGAAGAGGGGCACCAGGTGGTTGGAGGCATTCTGGGGATGGAAGAATCCAGAACTGAGAAACTGGTACACAAGGAACTGAATCACAGAAACAGAACTGCTGCCTTCAACTGCAGATTGTGATTTTATTTTATTTTCCAAACTGTTTTGCAGAAATAATGTTGACTAGGGCATAAATATAAATTAGCCCCCTTCCCTCCTATGAACAGTATTTCCAGCATAATATTACATTTCTTTAACACACTATATTTTACGAGTAGTATTAAGAGCCTATTAAACATAATATTTGATCTTCAATAGTATTATTATTTTCCTTTACAGCATTCATTGTCTCTTAGAACCTATAATCTAAAACAAAGGACTCCATTAATTATATGCACGTTTCATTTTTCTTAATTAATCTAACCCTTCTACAATGAATCCTGTCTTTCTCTTTAAAAGACCAAACTATTTTATATATAGTTGGAACTGATCTACCAGATTCCTAGTATTTTATGAAATCAATGAATAAATGCCAGCCTGCCAAAAACCTGTCCATCTTTCTTTGACCTTTGACCTTTCATTACCCTAGCCAATTACTTTTTTTAAAATCAATGTATCAGAAGCAAGGTTATCTTAGGCAGATGATATCAAAGCACCCAAGACGAATCAGCCATCCAGTTTACCTAATGTTAGAATCAGGAACATGCAAACAGGAATGCTGTGCACTTTTGACCAAAATTGGAAGATTGTGCCTGTCTCAAATGTATACAGTCATACCTCGGAAGTCGAACGGAATCCGTTCCGGAAGTCCGTCCAACTATCAAAATGTTCAGAAACCAAAGCACGGCTTCTGGTTGGCTGCAGGGAGCTCCTGCAGCCAATCGGAAGCCATGTCGGACGTTCGGGTTCCAAAGAAAGTTCGCAAACCGGAACACTCACTTCCAGGTTTGCGGCATTTGGGATCCAAAACGTCAGAGTACCAAGGCGTTTGGGATCCAAGGTACATGTACATGCTTTTGGTACTTTTGGTATAAAGGGAAAGAAGAGAAAGAGACAACTCAGTCAGCAGGAACACAGCCCTGCTTTGCCCTGCTAAGAGAGTTCACACCCCAGCTCCAAAAGGCAGACGAATGACACTCACCTGCAGAAACCTCTCTTCCTGGGCTAACTCCTCGACTTCCTTGGCAGGTGCCTTCAGACGGAACACTTCCCACTCCCCCAGTTTTGCTGCATGGACTACCTCCGATGGCTCTGCAAGAGCAAGGGGTGTGTGTGTGTGTGTTTATTTATTTACTATCCCACACTCCGTCACCAGACTAAGTGGATGCAGACATACCTCGGGTGAATGCGCTTCAGGTTGAGCGCGTTTGAGTTGTGCTCCGCGGCAACCCGGAAGTAACGGAGCACGTTACTTCCAGGGTTTGTCCGCTTGCGCATGCGCAGACGTTCAAAATGACGTCACATGCATGCGCAGAAGTGGCAAAAAGCGACAGCGCGCATGCGCAGACGTGCCATCGCTAGATATGTTTGCTTCTGGATGCGTACGGGGCTCCGGTCCGGATCCCGTTTTTATCCAGAGGTACCACTGTATTCCAAAAGTCCCCTACATTCTAAATGGCTATCAGCTAAAGCCCCAATCCTTCCCATTACACCTCCTCGCAGAAATATGTGCTTAACCAGATATGCAGAAGGAAATCTTTTACCCAGCAGCCTACACCTTAATGATTCATGCCCTTGAATGATTCATTGTGCCTGGGGAGAAAAGGTGAGGCCATGTATCAATTACACACACGGACACCCATCTCGCAAATGATGTAAGTCCAGGTATCAACATCATAGTGCCTTGCAACCTTCTCCTGGCCCCCACAAAGCCCCTCCCCGCATTACCCACTTAGTCATGAGGCCGTGAGGGTTAGGGTTTTTACTCCCTTTAAATGTACCTACAGGCAGCACCCCCACCCCCCGTTTAGGCACGTTCCATATGTGTGCAACTGTGTACGTGTGCATTGCGCCAAACCCAGAAGTGACCCAGAAACATCATAAAGACGTCACTGAAATGTCACCAAAAAGGCAGAGCAGGGTGCTTGCAGGCTTTTCCAATGGGTTTCAATTATACACGATTTCACCGACGCACGTAGTACCTCAGAACATAAACCCCGTGTAAACGGGGGGGGGGGTGGGCTCCTTGAACAGGAGGAGGAAGTTGGAAAAGTGGCACTCTTTCCCATTTCCTCTTCCAACTCTATGTGCTTTTCAAGCCTCAGATTAACATTATTGAGTCGACTTTTATCCAGATCCCTTGGAAAGGCAAAGAGTCCATATGTGTGAACCCTGACAGGAGGGAGGACGCAGAGAGAAGCAACCAGGCTCGGTGGTGCCCACAGCACTCGGTCGTAAATCGCCACGGGCCAAAGAATGGTTGGCAGCCCCAGACAAAGGAATTCTAAATGGCTCTGAAGCTACTTGCATTTGCTCAGTTGCACTGATATGATTCCAACCTGGATGGAGCATTACAGTGTGGAGGCTATTTGCCGCCTGAAGGAGAATTCTGTGGAAGCAGGTAGGCCTGTACAAGAGTTATCTTACCCATTCTGGTTGCTACTGGTTTCTACAATCAATATCCTTGAAGGAAAAGCTTGGCTCAGGGAGTTACTGTTTATGTCAACCGTATGCAAAGGTTTGGGGCCCTGCCTTCTTGACTGTATTTTTTGCTTTTAACGCTTCAGACAGACTACCCAGACCTGACTTACCAGCCAGGCGACACTCTTGCTTCACCAGCCTCTTCCTGTTTGCCCAGGGCTGACTCCAGACCTCAAAGTGACATGACTGGAAGGGAAGAACAGAAAAGGTTAGGAGGGCAAGCAAGGCACAGAAAGTCAGGACAAGCTACGCAGATAAGATGCGTGTGGCGGATGGATGCAAGGCTGGAAATCAGAAATATTGCCTTGCCATCAACTCTAGGAGAGGAAATGGGGCCTACTGGGCTATCTGAGGAGGCAAAAGGAAGTCAGGACCTCTGGCAGGAAAGGGCTGCCCTCCTCCCAAAAGGTTGCAGGTTCGATCCCCATAAGGGACAGCTGCATATTCCTGCATTGCAGGGGGTTGGACTAGATCAGGGGTCTGCAACCTTTAAGACAAGAAGAGCCACTTGGACCCGTTTCCGAAGAAAAAAAAACTGGGAGCCGCAAAACCGGGAAGGTGATGTCGGGACGGTGCGTGACTAACGCACACACTGCCCCCATGCGACGTCACAGCCAGTACAGCGCCCGCCACAGTGGGGAGTGTCAGGGCACACAATGCGCCTCCTCCCCTCGCTAGTATCCACCCCGGAGCCGCGGCAAAGGTGTAAAAGAGCCACATGCGGCTCTGGAGCCTGCGGGTTGCAGACCCCTGGACTAGATGATCCACAGGGTCCCCTTCCCATGATTCTATGACCTAATGATCTATGACTCCAAACAGTAAGGTGCCTTGGGGCGTTCATCTTGCCCCATGCACCAGAGATGCTTTCTCTCTACCAGCCACTTCACTGGGAGGACCTTTTACATCTTAATTGAGGCTGATCTCATTAAAATACAGTGGTACCTCGGGTTAAGTACTTAATTCATTCCGGAGGTCCGTTCTTAATCTGAAACTGTTCTTAACCTGAAGCACCACTTTAGCTAATGGGGCCTCCTGCTGCTGCTGTGCCGCCGGAGCCCAATTTCTGTTCTTATCCTGAAGCAAAGTTCTTAAACTGAAGCACTATTTCTGGGTTAGCGGAGTGTGTAACCTGAAGCGTATGTAACCTGAAGCATATGTAACCCGAGGTACCACTGTAAGTCCTAGCGAGAGGGTCAGTGTGTGTACTTGTCAGATATCTTGCACTGAGGGCTAGTTGCGCCTGGGTTGCAACCACTTCAGTCTTCAGCTTGGGGGATCGAGCACACCATAAGCATCTCAGAAGAGCCTGCCTGCTGGATCAAGCCCATCTTACGTAGCTCAGAGGTAGAGAATCTGCCTTGCATACAGAATGACCCAGGTTCAATCTCCAGGTAAGGCTAGGATAAACCTTTGGATACAGCAACTGTATACATGATGTCAATGCTCTCTATCTTCCTCCTCGGCACCCAACCCCTGGAGCTGCATGAGGCACTGTCAGCTGACAGGCTGGCCAGCCAAACCAAACTGCCCTTGTCTGAGGGGAAGTTTATGCAAAGAGATTCAGTGATGCCAGGTCACAAGAGAAACATGTGAGGCCCAGGGGGACAAACTGAATTTGGCATGTGCTTATGGAGATTGTAGCCTTGATAATGAGAAGTCTGAGTCAACAGTACCAATGTTTACTGTTGTTAACACACTGCTTTATGCAAACCAAAGCAAATCTGTAACCTTCCCAAGCTTCTGGGCGATGACCTGCTACTTCCCCATTCGTCTCCTGGACATCTAACTTGCCCTCATTTCCCCAACACATTGGAAGGAGGAGACCATATTTGGACAAACTACTTTGCACCAGCCACAGGTTCCAGTGGGAGGTCTGCTTCTCTTCAAGCAAAGAGGTGTCTGTTTTGAGGTGGGAGAGTTAGAAATCCCACTTCACTGCCATCTGCATATCCACAGGGAAACTGAGGGGCCAGGGAAAGATTCTGCAGAGTCCCAGCCTCAGGTGCCCCTCAGTCTCAGCCCATCCTGTTTCCTAATGCACACAGAGGTCAACTACTCAGGGACTTGTAGCACTGTTGGAATAGAGTCAAGAGCTGATACACCCAACAGGGGTCATTTGACCACCCTTTCAAATGTTTCTGTGGGAGGGGAGGTTATTGTTTTGTTTTTGCTGTTTGTTTTCATTTTGTATTTCTTTGTTGCGAACCGCCCTGTGATCTTCGGGTGAAGGAAGATATACAAATAAATTATATTGATTGTAAAAAAAAACCCTCAAAGTGGTAAATAAAAACAAGAATACAATAAAAATTACCAGTAAAAACATTCAAAAAATTAAAATCAGGATAAATTAAAAAAACAGATTAAAACACACATCAATGTTCAAGGTATCTGCGTACGCTTGTCTAAATGAAAATATTTTAAGCCAGGCGCTGAAGGGAGTTTGGTGAAGGTACCAGCCTGATTATCAATTGGCAGGGAGTTCCAAAGTGCAGGTGCTGCCACACTAAAAGACTGATTTCCTACAAATACGGAACAGATATTATGTGCCAGTGCCTGTGCTAACTGTTGCAGCCCCATGTGTTTTGCATGATGCTACCAAATGATTTTTTTAAAACTCAGAAGAGAAATCAGTAGAGCCATGCAAAACTAGGATACCTTGGGAACCAGACTCCAGGCTTCCAGCACATTGAAGGTGCTAGCTACACTCCCCCTGCCCCTTTAAACCAGAAAGCAAAAGGACAATGCTGATTCTTACCGTTTGCTCCGGCTCTTCTGGAGTGAGGCAACTAGGAGCATCTTGCCCCACAGCCTGCTTCCCACTGCACTGACTGCTCTGCAGCAGAGTCACATCCAGGTAGTACTTGATTCCATTCACCACCTGGAGATGAGGAAAGAACAGCTCTCAGGCAAGTGGGGAAAGTTGGGAAATTGCCCAGTGATGTTCACTGCCTGCAAGCAGCCAAAACCAGTTCAGAAGAAACTGGAAAAGACCTAGAGTGGCCTCAATGGTTTTCTGGTTGTTTATTTGTTTGGAAGGAGGAGGCAGCAGATAACTATGGCTGGACTCAAAAGTTCACCGCCCGGCTTTAAACTTGAGGTTCACAAGCTCACGCTGCAAGTTCAATCCATACATGCATAGAACAGGAACTTCATGAAAGAAAAACGATACACAGCCACTGTCTGGCACATTGCTGACACTGGGAAACATTTCAGCATTCCACAATTCCTGACAGACAGAGAAAGGGACCCGACTATTCTGTCTCTTGCAGCTGGCCAAGTCTGTGGTCACCTCACCTCAAAAAGGATACTGTAGTTGGAAAAGATTCAGAAAAGGGCAACTGAAATGATCAAGGGTATGGAATGACTCCCCCATGAACAAAGGTTGCAGCGTTTGGGGACTTTTTAGCGTAGAGAAAAGACAAGACGTGACAGAAGTCCATGAAATTATGCATGGCATGGAGAAAGTAGACAGAGGAAAGTTTTTCTCCCTCTCTCATCACGTTAGAAGTCATGGGCATCCTATCAAACTGAATGTGGAAGCTTCAGGGCAGATAACAGGAAGGAGTCTTTCACAGAGCACATAGTTAAACACTTTTATAGGAGGCTGTAAAAGATAATTAGACAAATTCATGGAAGAGGCGGCTTTCAATGGCTACTTGTCACAATCACTATGCTCTGCTTCCATGGAGGTCAGGGGCAGTATGCGTCTGAATACCAGTTGCTGGAATCCACAGGAGATGATAGAGTGGTTGGCTACTGTGAGAACAGGATGCTGGACTAGATAAGCTATTGGCCTGATCCAAAAGGGCTCTTCTTATGTGATTCTGTCTCACAATCCCAAACACTGAGCAAAAGGCTCTCATGAAAGCCAGGAGGTAAATAAAGCCTCACACACACACTTGGAGAACTAACCAGGCACAATACTGGAGGCTCGAGGCCAACTGTGGCCAAAACACTTCTGTGAGAGCCAGCACCACAGTTGTACAGTGAATAATTAATCAGAGCAGGCTGCCTCCTCATGGGAATTATGGATTTCAGTATTTGAAATGCAAACCATTTCAAATAATGAAAAAAGCGCACACACCCTTTTGTTTCTGATATTTAGATTCCATCCAAGATGCAACCTGGTTCTGAGGGAGGAGCAGGAATGCATGGGGCTGAGTTTCTCTTGCTGGCTGTCAGCTATAAGGGCATTCCATTGCCCTTACTCTTAGTCACTGACCTAGTTCTCCAGCATGTAGTGACAGCCTCGGCCCAGAGGTTTGTTACTTGCAGGTCAGCATCAATTATCCAGGACTCCAGCTAATCAGACGGAGGCAGATTCCCTCCCCCTCTGCCAGTATACCAGTTAAAGCAGTCTAGCTTGATGGAAGCCACCCGTAACTATTTTAAGAGTTAAGTGGATTGTGCTTCTAATTGTCAACAAGAAGACACCTGGGACAGCAATAAGGATCCCAAAGGGAGCGAGGAGAAGAAAAATAACATCCTCAGCGGCAGGCTCCCCGGCCCTCTGTACTTCCTTGTCCTGCGTTTGCCATTTCGGATGCCTGTGGAGCTTGGGGGGGGGGGGCTGATAGAGAAAATACTCTCTACAGATGCCATCAGGCCTCCCCTCCCTCAAATGTCCAGTGGCGTAGTGTGGGGGGTGCAGGGGAGCCGGCCGCACCAGGCGCAACATCTGGGGTTAGGGCAAATCCACGGGTTAGGGGGCGCAAATCCACGGGTTAGGGGGCGCAAATCCACGGGTTAGGGGGCGCAAATTACTTGCCTTGCCCCGGGTGCTGACAACCCACGCTACGCCACTGCAAATGTCACCTGGTAGCAGGTTGCTTCAGCCTCTTGCCCTGAACTGTAATGACAGCTGGTAATTACAGGAACTTACTACTTAATTTTAAAAACTGATGTCTCCCATCCCTTCCAGTCGCTTTTTCACAAGAACAAAGGGAGGCCCGTCAAGTGCAGCATCCTATTCTCACAGGGGTCAACCAGATGCCCGAGGGAAACCAGTAAGCACAAGAGCACTCTCCCTTCCTGTGGTTTCCAGCAACTGGTATTCAGAAGCTGTGGAGGCAGAGCATAGCCATTGTGGCTAGTAGCCACTGACAGACCCCTTCTTCATGAATTTGTCCAATCTTCTTTTAAAGCGTTCGAAGTTGGTGCCCATCACTGCCTCCCGTGGGAGTTCCATAGTTTAACTATGCACTGTATGAAGGACATTCTTTTCCTTGGACAATGTGCAGTGCTTTATTTTTTAGGAAAAAAGGTGCAGGTACTCACCACGATGTCGTTACAGTAAGTGCCACACTTTTAACATTTGAAAATTGAAGGTTCTGGTACTGCGTACACTTGAGTACTCCCAGAAAAAAAGCACTGACAACCTGTCATTTAGACTGTAATCCCGAAGGCAGGGTCAGTCTTGTTCTAACTGAATGAACGTAAGCTGCTCTGGAATTCTTTTTGGCTGAGGGGCAAGGTACAAATGCCTTAACGAGTTAGCTAAATTAAATTAATTTGACAGGAAGGGGTGGGGTTTCTGGGTCTCTTGGCAAAACAAAGAGCACACACTTTGAATGCAGAAGGTCCAGGGTTAAATCCCCAGTTCAGAGGATCAATGAGGTGTTGGGGGGGGGGAGACCCCATAGCCAAGCCCCTGGAGAAGTGCTGCCAACCAGAGCACACAATACTGGGGTTGATTGGCAAAAATGGCTGGCATGAGAGCCAGTGGTGGTGTAACAGTTAAGCTCGCTCACTGTCTCTCAGCCTACCCTCCCTCACAGGGTTGTTATGGGGATTAAATGAGATGCAGAAAAAACATGTAGGTCACCATTTTGAACTCATTGGAGAAAGGGGGACGGGGAACGGACATAAGCGCAATGAATGGACTTGGATGGAGGCTACTGGGGCAAGAGGTCTTCATAACGTCTTTGACCCCCCAGATGCTTTATGCTCCCCCCATCCTAAGTCATAGCCCCCACTTCTTCCAGCCCCAAAGTCCCCCGACGTGCTTCAGCCCCCAAATACTTCATGCTCCTCCACAGTGATGGGCCCCATCCAATTCTTCCAGCCCCAAGGTTCCTCCCTCCTAGCACCCGTGCCCCCCAAGCCATGATTCCCCCTCATTTCTTCTAGCCCCAAGGTCGTCCCCCCGCACCTGCGCCCAGCCTTTCTGCATCTCACCTGCGTCTGGGCTGAGCGCAGCGTCCAAAGGCGACCGCCACCTCCGGAGCCCGCCTTGTCGCTCTGGAAAGTCTCGGCCAAGGCGAAGCGAGCCGCTTCGCGGGCCTGGCCGCTCCGCACGTCCACCTCCCGGGCGCCCCCCGGCATCGCCGCGGAGGCACCCAGCATGAGCAGCAGCACAAAGGGGACAGCCGACGCCTGCGCCATCCTAGCTCTGACTGAAGGGAGACGGGCCGGCGGCCGGGTGGAGGGAGGGAGAAGGGGCGGGGCCTGAGACAGAGTGGGAGGGGCCTGAGGCAGACGGCTGGGCATTGGGTGGCGTCCCCTTGGCCGGCGAGGCTGGAGGGCGTGTCTCCGCCATCCCCCGCCCACCCAGCGCCCGCCCTCGCTGCCCTTGGCTTTGGTCCTCTCCCTCGAAAAACAAGAGGCAATCCCGGCTTCCCTCCAGGAGAAAGGGGCGGGGTCTCACTCCCGCAGCCCCTCCCACTCATGTGACGTCACACGGGGACCCTTCCCTTCCTGCACACCTGGAGAGTACCCCCAGTGGGGTGAAGAGAGGCGCAGGGCTGAGAACAGGCAGCGCCCTCACCCTGAGCATCTTGCAGGCCACAAGGGCCAATGCATGAGACCATGTGAGGCAGAGGTTCGAGGGCTAGGATCCAGATTCAAATTCCCACTTGGCCATGAAGTTCATTGGGTCCAGTCAGCCTAATCCTACTGGACAAGGTTACCGTGACCATAAAACGGGGGAGAATCAAGTGTGCACAGCTTTAGAAGCAGCAGGACACTAGATGCCTGCAGCTGGAGGAAAACAAGGTAACAAGTTAAAACGCCTGGCTACTCAGTGGCCGACCAGATGCCTGTGGGAAGCCAGCAAGCAGGATCTGAGCACAAGAACCTTCTCCCCTCCTACGGCTTCCAGCAATTGTTGTCTGCAAGTGTGAAGGCAGAGCACAGCTATCATGGCTAGTAGACATTGATAGCCTTCTCCACCATGTATTTGTCTGATCCTCTTTTAAAGCCATGAACCAGTAGGACAGTATATGAACCTGAGATGAAATAGCATGTAATTTAAAATGTTCTGCAGGACTCTGGGCAGCAAAGACTCACCCGGCTCCTTCTGGCATCTGCCCACAAGATAGCCAAGGGAGAGTACATTTCCACACCCCTAAGGTGAGGAACATTTTGACCTTGGCCTAATCTCCTGCAGGTGGCAGAAGCCTTCTGGCAGGAAGAGCTGGTTTGGGCAGTGATTGGAGCCTTCTGGCAACAAGACAGAAACATAGGGAGAGCCAAAATGGGTGGAGATGGGGTAGCAGTTATGAAGTCCTGAAATGCTGCAAACTCTGCCCACTGCTAGCATGTACCTCCCTGGCAGATTACCTCACTGGGCTGTAGCGCAGAAAATAGGTTCCCTGTTCCAACCTCAAGGTTGGGCCAAGTAACACTTATTGTAAGGCACAAATATTTTTATGTAAATTTCAATTTCTATGCTAGGGCAAGATTATTCCTTACCATTCCTAACTTTGACAGCCATCTAGATTTTGCCCGTTTTAGAATGATGCCCAGGGAAGGAGGCAGAGCATTGTTCTACCCAACTATTTGGGATAATTTCTATCCTAAGAACTAGGCCAGAATGCTCAGCCTCCTTCGGCATACATTTAAAACAGGCAACTGTAAAGGTCACATTCTGTTGGAAGGGGCTACGTGCCAAGAGTGGTTGGAGTCAGTAGCAGTGCTGGATTGCTCTCTTCCTACCTGGACGAGTTTGGGAAAAGAACTGTGCTCCATCATGAGGCTGAGACTCACAACTCCTGACTTTCGCCATCACTTCAGCAACCTCAGGTAGATACTAAACCCTTAATAAACTTCCTTGTGGGATCAAGACACAAATTGGATTCCCGCACCCCTTTCCCCGAAACAGCTCACTCCAATTAATTTTCAAGCAACACTGAATAGTTAACACAGCTGATTTTTATTGATTTAAAAACTTTGCAATGATTTTTGGTTCTTGCCAATAAACCGAGTAGCATAAAAATTATAGCAGGGATCAAACACTGGAGAGAAATCACAAAAATAATAGGCCTAATAACATCTTTTTTCTTCAGAATTGACAGGTAAATCTCAGTCTAACTGGAGCTCAAACAAAGGGAGTAGGGGAACTTCCATTATTGTTAGCAGGCAGGTCTGGTTCTGGAGTTGGGTGGCCTAACAGTGAGGGGGCTTGCAATTAAAGCCACGTAAAAAACAACCTACATGGAGCATCGAATTAGAACATTTGATGTTTCTCAACCCTCTCCCTGGAGGAAAAAAGATTCAGTTACATTAAAAGGCAGTCATGGCTCCCCCCCTACCCCACCCCAGTGTTGGGAGCAATAGCCCCCAGCAGCCCATGTAGATGCTGGGAGGTTTATAAGAAGTGGGTGCTGAGAGAGATGGGGAGGAACAATCTCTATTCAACTACAAAAGCCCTAACAGCATCCACCAGGCTTTGGCCAACATCATTCACAAGAAAGCATCACACCATTCCTTCAGGCAGCCATAACAGTCTCTGGATTGCTTGGCATTGGCACCGCAGGTGTCCTTCAACCACTCGCGGAAGAGGTCCTCGTCCTTCTTCAGCACTAAGAACTGTCCCAGAACCACGTATGCCTGGGTTTAAGAAAGCAAGGGGGAGGGGACACACACACAGAGGATTAGCAACTTGGGTAAAAAAAAAGAGAGGCTACCTATATCAGACCCTTTGGGGAGACTGAAAATTCCAGAATACCCTTCCGCGACCAGGTGCCCTCCAGAGGTTTTGGACTACAGCTGCCTCAGTTTGATGGGAGTTGTAACCCAAACTATCTTGAGGGCTCAAGGTTGTGAAACGCTGTTCTAGAAGCACAGAAAATCTGGGAACACAGAAGTTATCCTTTCAGTGCAGCGGTTTGAGTTTAGGACTCAAGGCTTGGGTTCAAGTCCTCACTCTACCACAACGACTAATTGGACGCAGGCCTACTGATATTCAGAAAGACTGCTGCACTGCATAGGCCCTGAAAAGCAGGCTTCAGCAATCATCAAAATGGAGCATGTCTCTCCTGATCTTGTAGTCCTGCGGGTGCTCCTGGTACCTCTGAAGAACCCCCCACAGTAGAGGTTTGTCTGGAGGCTAGAAAGCATCGCTTTGCCCAAGTTCATTTCCTACTCCATAAACTTATTTTACTTTCAGACCCAATGGCCCAGAAGATACCTTGTCAAAGCCTTTGTCTTCCAGCTTCCTGCCAAGTACATCTCCAATGCCAGCTAAAGTACCAACAGACTTGTCCCCCATGGGCTCAGCCACGAAGTCCCGATGCTTCTGACTGGTGGTCATGTTGCCTGCAGCTCTGCCTGCAAAGGAACTCAAGAGATCAGTGAGGTGTCAGAACTAAAGGGTGGGTAGCATCACCAGGCAGTTGAGAAAACCCACAGGATGCTAGAACTGCACATGCTTCTTGGCCAACTATCATACAGCTTATTTGTTTACTATTCCAGGGAGGAAGAAACAGAGTGAGCCATGTCAATGGTTGCATTAGGAGTGTATACTCCCCTGCCTGGTTGGCCAAAAAGCTCAAAGCCTGCAGTGAATTAGCCAACAATCCTCCAGCATTAGGTAGCTTTCTTTAGAATGCCCGTGGATATTGCCACACCATACCTTAGAGGCAGGGGCACAGAACATTTTCCACTTGTAAAACATGCATGTAAATGAGGAACTGTAGCGTAAATTAAATGTGTACATTTTGCTAATTTATGTGTTTGGCAACACTTAGTGTTTACTTTGATACTGTGGCAAAAAATTTTTTTACTGAGATTTGTTGTCCAGGTTGGAGGATGTATTTAAAGATAGTGACCTGGCTCAAATGCCATGTTAAATCTTAGTTTAAATGTGAATAAGGCTTTTCACCCATCCCCTGTGCAGGTGGCACACACAACACAAACATATCAGAGTATGGCTTGTTGTGTTGTGAGAACTCAGTGCATGACTTGTTCCTTTCAAACAAACAATGCACACCCAAGTCAGAAACAAGCTGAGAAACAAAGCTTGTTTGGTGTTTGCCTGAATAAATAAAATACAAACCAGACTCATATATGGTTCAAATGTAAATGAGCCAATATATAAACTGGGCAGTTTGTAAGCTGTAATTAACTTTTTTGAGATCACACACAAAAATATAAAAAGTTCAGCTCACTGTGTGTGCAAGGACTGGTGCATAAGCTTATGTTAATGTGTTATGTACATATCTTAAGGCAATATCAAGTAAAAATAATTTACAACTAAAGCTTTGAGCACAGATTAATACTTCATTATGTACATTTTGATCAGGAAATTAAATTTAAATAAAAATTTAAAAAATCATCTCCTCCCAGCTATTAAGCAAATTATTTGGAAGAATTCATACAGTGCTTTTATGTTAATTTTTAGGGTTTGGTTACCAACGTGAGTCAGACATACTAGATCAGATCCCAATTGGTTTAGAGCAGCAGAAAATGTTTATTCAAAAGTTTTCAGAGCACACCACTGCTCAGATTGTACACAGAATGTGGGTGGGTGTTTTACAATGAATCATTTGTAAAATGAAGCATAGTCAGCAGCGCTGTTACTATTTCCAACACAAGTATCAGAGGCAACGCACCACTTCACAACCATGGTTGCACCTGAGATTGCAAAAACAAGATCTCATTGCTCCTACTAGCTGTATCCAGTTTAGGGGAGATGGGGAAGAGACCAAAAGCTATAGTTTGACTGGACAGTTCTAGAGTTCACACTTGGAAAGTGGGAGGGGGCTCAGTTAGGGCCATTACAGCTTTCATAACAGCTGCTGCAATCTTTGGAAGTTTCCGATTCCAACAGCAGCCAGCCAGAGAGTGGCGGTTGCTACTGCTCCCTAGGTTCACACAGTCTCTATTCGATGACTGCAATAATGACATAGCCTCCTGGTAAGGGAATACAGCCAGGGAAGCATCAAGAGGTGTTACTTGACACAGCTAAATAAGGCAAAGCGGTACTGAAGGGCAGGCAGCTAAATAAGGCAATAGCACCACCCACCAGAGAGTGAATTGAAGAACACTCAGTGGAATGAGGTGGGGCTTGGTCTCCTTTGACTCCTCACTGGCACCTGGGGTTAACTGGAACAGCAGAACCATCACCAGCCAGGGCAGAAGGTGGCTTAGGGGGTTCTTTTGTTGCAGCACTACCAGGATGACACAGAAGGACCTATGTTGGGCTGCTCTTCAGGAGAGAA